CCCATGTGCAGGACCTTGCACTTGACCTTGATGAACTTCAAGCAGTTCTCACGGGCCCACCTCTGAAGCCTGTCAAGGTCCCTCTGGATGGCATCCCTTCCCTCCAGTGTGTTGACTGCACCACACAGTTTGGTGCCATTGGCAAACTTGCTGAGGGTGCACTCGATCCCACTGTCCACGTTGCCGACATGAAAACTCCGTGATAACTCATTAATCTAAATTGAAGGGCCCAAGAGCAAAGTCCCGGATCCAGATGACTGGGCTGTGCAGTAGATATCTGCAACCATTAGCATTGCTTTTACTACCAGAACACTAATGCACGTATCACTATTAGAGAATGCTTTTACAGAACTCAGGTCATTAATACAAAGGCAACTAGTGCTGTTCACTGGGCAACATCTTTTTCAAACTACACCAAACTCTTATATCTCATGCATTTTCCTATAATGTTCTACACAACTTTGAGACAAGGAGTCTGCCTATCCTCTTCCGTGAAGCATGGTCAAATGCTCAGCTGGATGTCTCGGGTGAAACAGAACAGTTGTGCTGGGAAGCCAGGTGCAGCACCTCCTCTGGGCTATGGGAAGATGGCTGAGGTGAGACAGTCACTGCCTCTGTTGACATCTGCACCATTTTCTCCAATCTAGGTAGAAAGAACCAAGTTGCCAGTCTTGCAAGTCTGCCAGCATCTCTCCTTCACTGTGTGCATGTCCTTGCTTTGAGTAAATCAGACTGCCTGCTCTGCAAATGTCAGCAAACAACTTCCCAAAAGACTGGGCCGGTTAAGGCTGGGCAGATTTTTTGTTTTTTTCTTCCAGCACCAATAATATAATATTGGAAGAAGAAAATCCCTCACTTGAAATATATTTATCTGGATAACCTAGTCCACTGCAATCCCATTCAAAGGCCATTACTAAGTGGTGAAATTTTGAATTTTAGATGTGTAAGTCAAAGTAAAGAGTAAAAGAGGCAGAGATACAAGCACCCCGGGAGCACAGCCAACAAATTGCTTTTTCTTTTCCTAACACAGTATCTCAATGAGTACTGAGTGGTATCTCCATACAGTAAATGAATGACTGGGATCTCTGTTTACACACTGGACAGGGAACATACCTGGATATACCTGCTGGTTAAATAAAGTTGCAGACCACCATTTATACCATATTTTCATAAGTCAGTGACATTTTCCATCTGGTATCAGAGACTGGGATTACTCTGAAAACCAGCAAATTCTGATGCAAATTGTAAAAGTGTTGTGGAAATAAACAACTATCCTAAACACCAAACTTCTGTTGCAGTATCTCAGCTTTCAAAGAACATAGTAAATTTTAAAAAAACATATTTTTATGCTTTATCTGCTCCCCTTGAAAGTAATACTATGACTACCGTAATTATTAAAAATAAGGGGTAAAAACATATGCACTGACTACCTTGCATAGTCAGATTCACTGCTTATAATCAACTACTTTTGTTAGAGACAGGAAAGAAAATAAAAATTAGAAGAAAAGTGATAATTTGGACTTTGCCAAATAGAAATATAGAGACCAGAAGAATTTCAAGATAGCTGTACTCCCCAAAGCTATTTAATTCTTCTGTTGAACAGACTCTAATGCCATTTATAATCTGCTAAGAAACCGTATTAAATAATATTTTCTGGGTACAATAACTTCAGATTTTTCTCAATGGAGAATTCTGAAGACAAAATTTGAAGCAAGATAAAATAGAGACATTCAGGCTCAGGTATTTAATTAGCTCCCAGTAAGCTTATGTGTTTATAACTAAATCTGTCCAACTGTATCAAAGTTTCTCTGGAAATTTTATACTATAGCTGTGCATTCATGCAGAATAAAGATCCTTTTTCTTTCACTGTCATGGCAGTTAAGTCTCAGTTGAAATTGGTTTTGAGGACCAGACAATCCTATTAATCCCAGCTATTTTAATCTGGTGACTGATGAAAAGATTCAAAAAAGGAGATGGTTGTTAGTCAGTCAAACAATTTTTAACTGAACTCTGGATGCATACTGAGGGACCAAAAACTTTATGTGTCAGAAGACAGTTTTTGTTTATGCCTAGTACATATTAAAGGTGAAAAAGTAAAGCACACGAGCTGGACCAACTCTTTGTAGAAATTGCTGATGCATGATAGGTTTATAAAGCAGAGCTCTGTATAAATTTCTTATTGAATGCTTCCAACAGGAGCAGTGGCTGCCCCATGCCTAGTTACCCATTTTCAGTTTATCACTGAGAGCAAGTTGGTAGTAAGAAAAATATCCTTCAGCTACGCCATCCAATTTAAGCATGAAACAAAAGTAGTGCTGCTGATGCGGGCAGCATCTTAGAGTAATAGATGGAGATAATCCATCTGTACTCTCCCCCTCCTTCGCCCCATCTCATCAGCTGCTTCTGAGATGCTTTCAGTATGCTCAGGACTTTCTCCTCTCTGTCTCATCCAGGCTATAGAATATCTTGTCTCTGTGCTGACTACAGGCTGAAGAAGAGATGGCAGGTGGCAAAGACTCCACTTGGGGAAGAAGGTAGGTTGCAGTGGCAGGATTCAGGGGAAAACAACCAGAAGAGAGCAGGAATTTACCCACCCCTTTCATTGATGAGATGTATTTGCCATTTGCTAAAGATCTGCAAGCCAGTGAAACTTCTAACCCAGTTGGAAGATCGTACTCTAAGATCATTTCTTCTGGTCTGCATCTAGGCCATTTCTTTCTGGAGGTGGGCCTAACTAAAGTAATCCTTGCCTTTCTCACCTCAATGACAGTAATTACATTTCAAATCAACTCAGAATAAGCTGATATTACTGCAACAGCAGCACTTAGGTAAATTTAAGGTATCAATTTCTGTTTAGAAAGCCATTTTTTCACATATAGCAATCCAGAGTTTTCTCTGAGTTTTTCATAAATAGAAGAGAGTTACTCTGAAACAGAGACTTACAGAAGGTAAATAATGGAGTGACTACACAGTAATGAAATACATTACTTGCATACATTTTGTCAGGAGATTCAGAAGTGACAAACATTTTTCTTCCCAGTTAGAAAGTAGTTGAAATATCACACACTTTCGTTTAATTGAAGCACTAATACTAATGCTTATATACTTATCTAACAACTCTGAAAAAATAACAAAGTTCACAGGAAATATGACAATGCTTTTGTAAAGAAAAATGTATCTCTGTATCATACCCGAAATACTGTTTCGTCTCCAGCTGTTTTCAAATCATCTTCCTTCCCAATGATTCTCTGCAGCTGCGTTTGTTAAAACATGAAAAAAAAACCACAGAAAAGTTACAAATTTGGTCTTACAAAAGTCTTCTTTCAGACACTTGCATTAATTCCATCTTTTCTTTATTATAAAGTCACTACATTTCTGCAAGGTTCTCTAGCCACAACAAAATATTTGCATGCTTAAGGATATTTTGCTATTCGGACCCACTTTTTCCCAGGAATTTCTTATCTAGTGTGGTTCATATAGCCAAGCAGATCATATGAATCTATCTCTTGCAGCCCAGTGCTTACTCTATTTTTAGAGATTTTCTTGCACCGGAAGCTTAGCATTCACTCCATAAGATTTTGAAACTCAGGGGTATAACATCAAGGGTAATTCAGGAAATAAAAATTATCCTGTGATTTTCATGCTGTCCTCCTAGACAGCTTTACATAATTCTGCTACAGATATCATCTTCTAGACACGAAAAACATACCTGTTCAAATGAGGTACTATACAACTAACAAGAAAGAATAATTTAATTAAATAAGCAAACGTATTTTCAGAACTTGCACCAAGCAGAACATGATTTGAGTTTTCCCTCCATCCCACAAATAAATGAATCTTGAATGTGTTAGCTAAGAAGATTTTCAGAAGTACTGAAATGACTCACATTTAAAAACGTAACTTCTACTGTCCCAAGTAGAGCTCTAAGGTAATATAGAAAGTGCATTAATTTGCAGCACCTCAAGTATATCTCAGCTGTGATGTTTCTTTGTATTTTAGCTTGGGAGGTCAACACTGCCACAAGAATGAGTGATTTAACACAGCATAAGGTATACCTACCTTTCACAGGCATTTGCATGACTCCTCAAAGGACAGCAAAAATGAAAGAACAAGGGATTTATTACATTTCAGGTATAGATATGGACTTACACTGATCACTGGATTTGGAGACTTTAGGAAAGATGCTTTTTAAAGCTGACAGTTTTTGAAGCTGCTGGTTTGCTTCTCAAACATTTCTGAGTGATTCCTCCCCCTGCCCGTTAGAACTGGGAATAAAATTCATGACCAAATTTGCATAGCTATTATTTTATGGGGTTTTCAAATCTCTTCTTAGGGCTTTATTTTTTTCCTTTTTTTTGTTATGTTGTTCAGAGAAGGAATATGACCTGGCAATTAGTGAGTACAAAAAAATCCTCTAACTGTTCATGTTGCCAAAGGTCTTCCCTTGGCATTCAAATTTTGACTAATTCACCTGTTATGGGTTTTTATAGCCTCAGTTTTTGAGTTCCTCAGGAGAGTTCCTTTCTATTATTATTTTTGAATGGCATGCCTTGATAGTATTTACCAAAATAAATACTGTAAAACAAGACAATGAAACAGTACTAGTTCTTCCAAATTTCTCCAAATTCTTTTTATTTTTGATCACTTACTTAGAAAATAATTGACTAGTACAGTAAAGGCATTATGAATTTCTTCATAGCAAAACAGCATGATAGAGCTCTGGATAAAAACACAACTACTTGTCCACATTCACACTGAAAAATTACATTTTTTCTTACCTGAAAAATCCATCTTTCGCTCACACACAAGATATACACAACTACAAATACTTTCCAAACAAGACAAAATATGATTTTTTTCTTTGGAATTTTATTTTTAAATGACTCTTAAAAAAATCTGCAGAAACTACTAAAGATCACAGCCACACAGTGTAATTTTTTTTTCACAAGTGTTCTGGAAAATTTAGGTTATTGTTTCTCACATTTTACTTGAAACTAATTCCAGTAGGTTGCAGATTTTTTTCCAGCACAATGCAGCAACTACTCACAGAGGGAGAAGAACTCTGCCCTTGAGAAATGGACTCTAATACTCAACTGCTCCATGTAACATTTATCTATATGTAATATTTATATGTGTTCATCACTGGAAGATACTAATGGCTAATTCAAAGACAATTAGACCTATTATGCACAACTGATGCCTCTTTACTAAAGACATACTAAGAAGTAATATTTTCTAAGAAGACAAGAGGAGAAGAGCTGGCAGAAAGGCTATGTCAGTCTTAAAAAAAAAAAAAAAAAAGGTGATTTTGCACCTTCTGGTTGTTTAAGAGAAATTAGTGGTGGTGGATGTTGTAGGCCTGCAGAGGTGTTCTGTACCAAACCACCACAACTGCTGACAGTTTTGGGTCGGGTGCTGTTTCATTCAGCCCTAGATGAACCTCTACAAGTTTTTTGTGGTATCTGCTGTCCATGACCAGTGTATAAAGACAGTCTATTTAGAAAGTCTAAATCACATTGCTCTTGCATGAGCTACCCTACTTCCATTCCCAATAGTTTTGAACTGTCATTTATTTTACTTAGAAATCTTTCATCAGGACAGACTAAGGGAAATTCCTCACTTGCTGGGGATTTTGGGATCTTTGGTAGCCTTATTCTTGATGGGAGGTCTCAGATTAACATACATGGGTTATTATGTGCACGTTTGGAAATCCCCCTCACCAAGTCTCATGTGAATGTCTTGGAAGTGCAGAGTTCACAAAAGTATCTCACTGTCATCACAAAGATGCAGATAACATGGCTGTGAGAAATAATTCTTTGCACTCTGGCAGGGGCTGATTAAAAGGTGGCAACTAACATCTGTGAACATGCCATTTCTACCATGTCTTCTTCAACCTGGAGTTGAAGGTCAAAGCAGCAAATCCTTGTGGATGCCCACCTCAAAATACAGATTGTTGTGGCTCTGGGCCCTCATACTGAAATGTTTCTTGCATTGTGAATGTTTACCACTGAACCATGGATGAAGCAGAAATTAAAAATAGGCTGGCTTGAATACAAAGAAGTAGGGAGGAGAGAGAACAAGAGCCTGTCTCTGGCAAAGGACAGACTTTTAACTCCTACTGGAAAGGAGGAAAATGTGTAGAAATGGAAAAGCTGTGGAGGACAAGATAAACTCTCTCCTTCAAAACATGGAACTGCATTCAAGATCTCCTCTCCTGAACATTCAGTTATGTTAGTGAAGAGCACCAAATCTACTGGGAAATCCTGCATCTCACACTGCTTCAGTGTCTGATCCATACAGGTCTGACCAGCCTGTCTCCATCACGTGCTGCAGGCACTAAGGACTTGGGTTGTAGAGTCTGTTTGTCACCCTTCTCCCTTTCCTGAATGATTCACTGACACATCAGTGCCTGTTTATCCAGCAACACGTGAGAGTTGAGATATACACAATTCAAAGAATGATGGACATTTTGCAAACAAAAAGGCAAAGTTCTTACCTCAAAGAATTTACAGTCTAGATCAACAAGTAATGTAGACATACATAGATGTCTAATCCGCAGAAATGACAAAGCAAGAGCAGCACTGAAATTTATTTTCCCATCACATCCTGCTTATAGTAACTATCTCCTAATTACTGCCTTTTTCCACTGCCCTTTCCTTACATACGTTTCCTGATATTATTGTCAAATATAGTGTGGAAATAACTAATAGAATAGTTCAGACGTATTTTCCTGAGATGCTAAGTGGGACAAGACAAGTGACACATTAGCCACACAATTTAATGATTTATTAGATATACAGAAACTTTCTGTGATGGACACAGAACTAGAGTATACGGACACTAATGCACACACATTTTTCAGATTCTTAACTTCCAAAAGGTTTATTTTTACACCTAACCTATAAAAATCAAGTTTTCTTTTAGAATTGTCACTGCTTGTAAATTTTAAGTAAAAAGTCATGTGAGAAAACTCATCTTTTGACTAGCTTGCATTCTGCGGGACTTCTTTGACTCTAATGATTCTTGTGAGTTGACATTGCAATTTATATGGGTTTATTTTACCACTCTATTAATTTATCAGTACAGCCCATAAAGGAAATGCAAAGTAACAATCTAACTAGAATAATTTTCATTTAATTTGATTGCCTTTACAGGAATCAAATTATTTTTAATGATTTGTATAATGTTTTCACCTCTACTTTGAATGACTTTCTGTTGTTCATACTGGCTGATTCAATTAGAATTACCTGAAATGGGTAATGGATATTAAATATGTAACATACTATACACCTCCCAAAAAGAGTTATGCTGTATTTCTCCAAGAATTTCCTTATTTGCTTAACTGACACAGTACCTATTTAAAGGCAGTACTGCTAACACAGCCTTTTGGTGCAGAGGCGCTACAGGCTGTACACGTTCACTTGTGTTCATGGACTTACTTTGCCCTGTAACATATGTTTTGTAGATGAACAATACAGTCATAACAGACATATTTCGGTGATCAGGGCACTGCTACTCTGATAACAATTCACTAGGATTGTACCAGGTTTAGTAGGTTAAAAAGAAAGAGTTTAGTTAGCATTTGATTTCTTTTTAATCAGCAGAATAATTAACATTTTAACAGAGCAAATTCTTCAAGCTTAAAAATTTTTGTGTAGCAACAAATGAGTGCAGGATACCTGCAGGCTTAGTTAGGGGCTTCTGGGGACATTGTCTTGGGAAATGGTGTCATTTCAAGTATTATTCGCAAATATGACTACTAAGTCAAAAAGTATTTTAAAAATATTTTAAAATATATTCAAGTACAACTCTTCAATTATAATCTTGCTAAGAGACAATTCACTGAAAAAATGGCTATCAGTGCAAAACATGCTAACAGGTATTGTATCATTAATTCAGAGTTTAAGGCTATGAAAGTACACGTAAATAAATTTTTTGTAATTTCTCTATCAACAGGTGCATCTTTACAAGTTTTAGATTCTGTGGTTCTCTACAGTTGTTTTATTAACAACTATCTTTATCCTAGTGACATAAAATAATTTGCACTGTAGTAGCCATTTCAGCTTCTTATAAAATTGTCTCTCTACTCACCTCCAATATGGATGAAGGATCTGAATTAAGCTGAGAGAGTCTATTAAAAACCGTTTGTTAATTTTCGACTTTTGACAAGAAGTATTTAGTTAATAGTCTCCTGTTAAAAACTTAAAAGTTGAATAAGCTATATAATTAAGTCTGTTCTTCTTTAAAACATCAGAGCAAGATTTTCTTTGTTTTTTAAGCATCTGCTTTTCTCCCTCATATTTTGTACAAAATATGAGGAAAACCTGCTGTTAGCCTACAAAGTGTGAATTGGTAAGAAACCTGTGCAAGAGCAAACAAAATTAATAAAAGCCAAGAGAGGATGGCGAATTAAAAAAAAAATAAATTTAGAAAATGAAAGATTTTTCCAGATGATTATTTAAATTAGCTCATGGGATTAAGGGACATACACCAACATCTACCTTCCCAATGACAGATTTTTAGATACAAGTCAAAGGTAACACTTAGAAAAGTGGATTGAAATATAAGAAGTACTTCTATAGCAATGCTTTGGTACGTGCTTCTTTCATATAAAGTATTTTAGTAAGTATGTGATCATAGATTGGACTGAAAAATAGGCTTAAAGATTTTAATGAATTTTAATTTAGCAATTACAAGCCATAGAACTATTTAAATGCTTTAAAATTAATATGCATATAAATACACATACCTTAAAGAATTCTTTCTTTTCAACTTGTTCATTGCCATCTGTATCCAACATTTTAAAGGCAATCTGAAACCCAGTCTGGGGTTCTGTAACAAATTGCGAAAGAACTTTATTGTAAACACACACACGCACACACACACACTAATACTTAAATATTTAATGCACAAGGAATATTGCCTATGGTTCAGTTCTCCATTGTTATGCACGTACATGACATTTCCAGTAAACCATATGTACCTCCTCCAATATAAGCAAACTTTTAAAACACCTTTTTACTACCATTTCAAGGGATAATTAATGCAATGGCAAAGCAAGAAATGCCAGCAGTGCCTAAGTAAAGCCACGAATGTCCATCTGATCCCAATGACTGTAAGAGCGTTGTGTGTCTTACTGTCCTGGTCCTATATATTCTCTATAGATGTCTCCATAAGCCCATGTCACTTCTGAAGTCTAGCTCTGTCTTGTTTATTAGAGCTCCTTTTCAAGTGAGAAGACCTGGAAAGTGCCTTGAGAAACCAATAATTATTCCCAAACAGTGTGAAAGAGGTAGTGTACTCCTCAGGTACTTCTTGCGTGCATGACTGTGTGCCAGTATTTGCAGTCTTCCCTCGTCTTCCCCAGCAAACAGACTGATCTTGTAATCGCGGCCAGCTCTCTCGGCTCCCGCTCCCGCTGTGTTAGCCCCAGGCCTTTTTTTTAGTTCCCTTCTCCTCCCTCCCTAAACAATGTACTCAAATGTTACTGAGAAGTAATAAACCACTCTTTCTGGCTTTTTTGGACAAAAGCATGTTTTGTATGACTCCCATCAAGCTGATTTTTTCAGGAATTTTATACAATTTTACCCTGCACTTCCTTCACCGAGTGGATGTTTCTTTTCAACACAAAAAAATGTAATGAGTTCTGAGTCTTGCAGGCGCTATAAAAACACAGTGTGTTTTGAGCTCCTTCCCACAATTTCCTGATCTTACTTTGCTTACCGGAGGTGGCCTTGCTCATTAGCAAGCCCACACAGGAGCAGCATGCCGCTGAAATGTAGTTACAGTTCACTGCAGTAGCAAGCACTTATCCCAGTAATTTCTGGAGCAGGTGAATTAATTCCACAACCCAGTCAAGTCAGGCATTAATATGAAAGCCACAGAATTATCGTCTCTAGAATATATTCACGTTTCCAAGAACAATGTTAGACTCACGAGGGCAGTGAAGCAGTATCTCTAAAAAACTCAAATGCTTCAGAATTTTTCTTTTGGAAACATATTCTTCCAGCACTATCTTGTAAAGTTTTAAGTCTTGCTTTTTTTTTTAGAGAATTCTTCTGCAAAGGGAACAAGTTAAAGAAATATCCTGTTCCTTTTAGGAGATAACAAGATAGTTAAAGAAAGTACTATTTTTACATTTTAGAAATAACTACATCTTCAGCAGCCAACTATCGTTCTCTGCGGAGCAACCTTGTGATGCAGGGATATTTTATAAATACTGTTGCAATGTGCATAGCAGAGCCCTTCCCCAGGAACTGGATTGTAATAATCAAAACTGGTTTCCTTTCCATGGAAATGACTCACGCTGAATTTGTGTTACTAGTACAAAAGCAAGAAGAGCCTATCCTATAACATATTTAGAGAATAAAAGTAATTGATTTATTTAATAGTAATTCATACCATCTGTGTTGCAATTTTCAGATAAGAGAGCTGTTACTGAAAATATAGGACCTAAAGCTGCTTATACTGTTCGGAGATGACATACTTATCTGATATGATGTAACCCCAAAGGTATGTGTTCGTAAAATAAGCATAGTTCAAAGACTACCTCAGATATATTTGTATTTAATTAGAATCAGGCAAAATTCCAAAATCTGAACAGAAAACTTCCATCGTAGCTGTGAGTGCAGGTTAGACTTAGGTGCTTCCCCTGCAATCATTCCTACATTGACCAAGCTGTCAACTAGTGTGACTGGCTAATTGAAACAAAACTTTGAGTCAAGGTGACAAATTCAGTTCCTGGGCTCCTTCACCAGACGCTCCATTAACCAATTGCTGGAAACTGAAAATTGGAAAATTGGAAAACTGAAATTCAGTACAGCACTGGAAGAAAAAAGATGACGATGATACAAGGCACACAGAAAAGAGAAAAGGGGATCACAGGGAACAACATAAAGCCTTTGTCTGCTGCAAAACTACATTTTCAAGTTCAGTGTTGTTCCAGACGGTGCTTTTGTACGACAGGCAGCATTGTCTGGTCAGCCGTGTCGTGGAACCGGGACTCTGGAAACCTGGTGACTCTTGTTTCCCTATTGCTCTGTTGGTGACTTAGAAGAAGTCCTTTAAATATTAATGACTGCTTTAAGAAATTTCACATTAATTCTCACTAGCGAGAGAGACAGGTTGTGTAACTGGGGGCTGACTGACACGGGATACTTGTTAGGCAAAGACAGAGGCACTAACACTTGTTGACATTTGCTTTCAAACTGATTGGTATGATAACACTCTGTGTAACCAAAGCAGCGACATTAGCACTGCATTTTTATCCTGCATCAAAAGGTGCCTTTGTTTTTGCAGTTCAATACATTCCTATATAAATTCTGTGAAAAATAATGTTACTTGATTGTCTGGAGAAGTGGAACAACTTGCTCTGATACCACTTCAATTTTCTAATTGTTTCAGCCAATAAATCAGCATGAATTTACTTTCAGCTGCCACAGATTTTTAAAGAAATAGAATCTTTGCCACCTATTTCTGCAACTTTAATGAAGTTATTCTTCTGAAGTTATAATGTGGTTGTGCTTTAAAAAAAAATCCCTCTTTAAGTTGCAACAAATATTTTAAAATCAGCTTTCTAACTGGGGTAGACTCTTATTTCTGATTTTAAAAAGCATTTGAACACATGGTATAACTCCTGTTCAAGTTGTGTGTAGCACCGGACAGTCACTACTGGTGAAACAGTACATCTGTATGGTAAATAAGTTATATTAATTTATATATACCATGTAATATTATGTACTAGTTGAAGTTTCCAATGCAGTTCTGCTGAGAAATGACATAAGTTGTAAAAGTTCTACCTAAACTGTGCGAGAGGTTTGTACTGACAGTCATTGTCTGTGAAGACTCTGGAGACCAACACTACTTGTTCTCACTACACCACGACAGAGCGTATTTCTAGAGCAAGGAAAACTTGTTAATTTGGTTACGCCCCTGTGATGCACCTCACAGCCATGGAAGTGATGAGGCTCAAGCATCTACAGTCCATTGGGATAAGAACGACTGCTTCCTTCTCTCCTTTCCCCATCCACTGATACCATGAGACCTAGCTCACTTCCACACACAAACAAGAAATGTCTGCTGTTTGCAGATACAGCAAGTATCAAACAAAAAAGATTTTTAAAAAAGTGTCTGATACAGAAAAAGGAAGGAGGCAAAGGAGGGGGGCAGAAATACAAGCAAAATACTTGGAAGAAATAAAATCTAAAGGAACAGAGCAAAAAAAAAAAAGGATTAAAAAATCAAACAAAAAGACACCACAGAAGGCTGCTGTTTATGTATATCATCCATTGCATAGCTGATCACATGAATAATAGGCAACAACTTTTCGGACACCACAACAGCTTTTTACACCACTGCATGAGCCATAGTGTTAATGTCTCATTGTTCAAAATGACTAAAACTACTGTCCAGAAGGCAAATTACTGAACTTCCTCCAGTGTTCTTCTTCCCCTTATTATGTGGTCCTGTAACCGATGTCTCCCCTCTCTCAAAGTCTCTTCAAAGACTTTACTGATCCCATGGTGCAGGGATTATCATGATTTTTAAAGTACTGCTACGGACCAATGATGGCACTATGGAAGTAAGTTGCCATCAATTCAAGTTACATCCATTTATATTAATGCCTTATCACTCTAAATACAATAGTTCTTTACATTTTACTATAATGTAGAAATTCAGAACATAAAAAATCAGAAAAAGTTCCTGGAAAGCTGTTAGTAGCTTAGGATTTACACATATGTATTTTAAATATACAATACTTACTCGTAAGGATTGTCAGCAAAAATAGGTACTCTGCATAAGATATCAACCCTGAAATAAAAGAGTTAAAGAATGACTTGCAAAAAAACCCTCACAAAACTTATAGCAAGACTTGAAAGATCAAATCTTATAAATATAAAAAATGTAGTTTAACATAGTCTTAAATAAGTTATTAAAGTAAGCCACATTATTATTTAATAAAGGTTTTACTTCTGTTTTTAGTGCTCTGAAGGTAAAATTCCCTATCCAGAGACTCATCAATGTTCATGTCTAATCACGAAAGTAAGGTTTATTTGGTATTAGTAAAAGGCCTACACTAAATCTTTGGATTCTCATTGAAAACATTCAATGTTTATATAAAAGGCAAATAAATTAAATGTGCTTTGTCACATTTAGTACCTGGGAGGAGAACTACTCTAACGTTACCCCGAAGGATCAAAGTCCTCCATCCTTTGGCAGGCTCGCGAAGGCGGAGAATAGCTTTCCTCTAATTCTCAAGGGGAACATGGCAACACGCAAAGCTGCCAAGCTGCTAGATTGTGCTGATAGTACCGCTGGGCTGTGTGCCAAGAGGAGGCTGCCTTTTTTTTTTTTTTTTTTTAAAATAGGAACATGTCCTTTCTACAAGGTGAAAGTATTTTCCCCCCTTTTGAAGGAAAATTCCAGTGTTTTCCTTTGAAATACCGCCTTAAGTGAAAAGCCTGAACAAACACAAAGATGTGATAGCGTCGAAATAGAGCGTACAAGCTAAAGATAGAGAGTGCATAACAAGGGTGGTTAAACAACAGAATCTGAACCATCTGCCCCGCAATAATGTTTGGAGAAAAAATGTAAAGGGCTTTTTTATAAATCACTTTTCAAAATAACTGAGCTACTTTTAACTTCTGAGCTAAACATTGTATAATGCTGAAGCTGCTTAAAATAATGAAGTTCAAACATGCCTATCTGTGCAAAGATAAACTATTTTTTATAATTTATATTTAGTTAATTGATAGATAAGGAATCCACTTAAGCTTCAGTGATAAACAATTAACTTCTGATAAATTACTGTGCAGAGCCAACAGCATTTGTATTTGGCCTCAGATAGTGACTTAACACTTTAAGTTTTAAGTACCAGAGTTTAGAAATATTAAATTGCTGAATGCAAGAGTCTGAAAATCTGAGAACAAGTCTTAGCTAAAGACAGGTCTAATGCTGATCCTGTTGCCCACTCACTCTGGTTCCACATCTCAGCTTTCCTCTCCATCAAAATAAGGCTATGATCCAGCAAGCATCATGTGTAAATCAGCACAGTACTACAGTCATACAATACACTGGAAATAAAAAATACTTTCATCTCAAAGATTTAGTTTTGCTTATAAGTTTTAGGGTTACTGCCATTGCAAGAATGTAAATTATTATTTGCATTGCTGTAAAACTTGGAATCATGTTCCTAGACAAAGTGTCCAGGATTTCTACAAATTCGAAACCAGAAAAAGAATTCCTACCCCATTTTTTTAGCTTATACACCTAAGTATAAGACAAGATTAAAAAACGGATAGAAACAAATAGAGGAGGAAAAAAAAAAATCAAGCAAATAGTGTGATGGCCAGTGATCAAGATTCCTGCTCCCTAATTTTGTTTTGTGTGTGACACAGCAGAAGAGTGTTTAAAGGAAGAAAATAAAGGAAGACAAGGAGGTAACTTTTCAAGTCTATATAGAAAACACCTCTCAGTCATGGACTGCAATGGTATCAGCACAAAGATCCCTGTCTGAAAATTTAACCAGCAAGTGATGAAGGCCAGCATCACTGGCCAAGAAGTGGGAGTCTGCCTCTTGGCTGTCTTGGGATGTGCTGCACAGGGGTAGTCTAGGGAAGACCTAGAAAGTGAAGACAAACAACTGGAACAAGGAGAGCCCAATGTTGGGATACAAAAGAAGAGATGACACATTGAAAGGAGTCATATAAGAAAAGCATCTTTATCAAAGCATTTGAAAGGATATTAACATGGCAGATTATGTTTGTCATAGTAACTGAGATGATACAAAATGCTGAGTGCCTGGAGAGTTTTAGGTATATGGGTAGACAGGGAACATTGTACCTTATGAAATTTTGCAGAAAGAATCTGCAAAATTTATATGGAGATGGTAGGATGTAAAGAAAAGACCAATTTAAAGACAACACTCTGCTTTTTGGCTCAAGGGAGAAGCATGATGGCTCTATTCACTTGAACTGCAGAGGGCTGGAAAGAAGAGCCTTGCAAGAAATGGCAGAGGCGAGACACAGACTCTGTTTTCATCACCTTAACGTAACCTGATTGAAAAGTTGCTACAGTGAAATAGGTAAAAAGGGAAATATAATAAAAATATGTAAAAAAAAAATCTTGATTGTTCTTTAAAGCCTGTCTCAGTGTCTTAAAGCAAATCTACAGCCTGACATTTTCTGGCAGATTGATTATATTAAAATAATTTGAGATAACATTTTTTTAAACTTGTGGACCATTTCCATAAAAATTCTTCTTTTAATTTTATTGTCCTTTTACTACCTGTAGTGATTGGCCAATTTACCTTATCCATAAAGTACATTAAATATTTTGGTAATTTTCTTTTTATTCTACAGTAATCATTACGAAGTTATTCAAATTAAAAGATGCAATGAAACAAATTTAAATTAAAAAAAATTATATTAATGTCCACACAAAATTTAAAAGATAAAAGCTTCACATGCTGTTGAATGACTCAGCATACTTGTAGCCAAGTATTTGCATTTAGCATTGGCAAAATGCTGTCATTTTCTAACACTAAATGAACCTTCTCTATCTCCCCCTAGAAATCTCTACCCTCAAATTTTAGAGCAAATGCTGACAGTACAAGATTCTTATTGCTGAATAAATCATAAGTATAGCCACAAAATATGACATGAATTTTAAAACTGCCCACTAGAAGGCAGAATTCCCTAGCGTTACATTTTACAAACTGGACTGATGACAGTTTTCTCACTACTTGATATTTAAATAACAATTTGAAGGTAGTTAAAATAGTCTTGGCTAAACAGTGGAACAGGTGTAGATTCATTATTCCGGTACTTGTAAGAGCAGTATTTAATACATAAATATTTACATTTTTAAAATGTAATAATAATGCATCTCAAAGCAAAAGCATCAAAGTCACTAAAGAGGTAGCATGACTCAAAACTGTAAAAACTTCATGTGTTGTGGAGACATGGGTGACTGCACTGAATGTTCTTGCATCGTCTCCAACTCCTCCCTGACCTCTGAAGGACAGAGCATATGGACCCACAGTCCCAAGCAAGGGGAGATCAATCCCTTGTCCAGAATGCAAAAGATGTCAGGCTGAGATATCACCGAGGCCACTTTCTGCCAAGCAGTCAGCTGGGAGAGGTGCAATAAAAGGAGGCTGCGCTGATTTGCTATGTTTTCACTTTCTGTTGGATTCCCGGTTTTCCCTTGCAGAGTGCTTTCGGAATTTGCAGTGTCAACCACTAGCAAAAGAAAGGATCTAAAAAAGCAAGGCTAGAGAAAGAGTATGCAAGAATTTAAAGACTGAGAATCCTTTAAACCCAATCCTGGGAAAGCACATGATGATTAGTAATTTGAAAAGGCAGCGAATGACTATCCAATACAGAATCCAGCCTTCCCAGGACAGGAAAAAATTGTTCAACTTGTTCAGAGAAATTTCAGGGCTGCTGGCGTGTGCTGGGGCTTGCAGGAGTGGACTGACAAGCACAGCACCCAGCTGAAGACCCCTCCACGTCTGCACAAGGATGCAAGAAATGAACCACGGTCAGAAGAGACTGTGAGGCCAAAGGGCAGGCGAAACGCTGCAGGCTGAGATTGAGGGCTGCTCTGCCGGCCATGCCTGTGGATCTGCTCTGCGTGGAGAGAGCGTGGCTCATGCCTGCCAAGGAAGTGCAGCAGTGGAAAGGCGGCTTTATTTTCCAGAACTGTCCATGGGATAAGGGATTCAGGCTGAACTCTACAATACAGAAAGTTTGTGAATAGACGCTGTCGGTCTTTCTCATTAGTTTGGGGATTTCAGTCTTTGTTACTGGTGAAATGGTTAATTGCTCATCTATTTGGTTTCCTTGATCCTCTTGTTTGTTTTCTCCCTTCAATTATTTTATGTTAATGATGTGTTTGTTTGGTGTTCTTTAATTCCCTGTTGTTATACAAACAATATCCCAGCTCTCAGAGTTTTCTTGATATAAGGTGGAAATGCTGGGTGAAAAGAAACCAAAGCACATCAGTTCTGTGAAGGGCCACTGAGCTCCTGAAGAGGGAGAAATAAGCTCAACCGCTCTTGGAATCAGGGATGCCACTTTATGTAATTAGATACAAATTTTATTTTTATTCTTAGTTTCCATGCATTTAAGTTATATAGTGAAACAGCAGCTTACTAACAAGTCTTAAAAGTCCATTTTGTGCTGAAGTCATCCCTTTAGCCCCTTTCTCTTCTCCAAGCAGGCGCTCCAATTTCTTTCATGTCTCCTCCTGCACCTCAGAAGGCTTTGAATGCCCAGTCCTGCCTCTTTACTCTCTCTTGCATAACTGAGAGATTTGCCAAGGAGGCAGCTACTGGCTAGATGGGGATGAAGTCAAATCCACGAAACCTTCTTTATAAATACATTCAATTCATACCATATAATGAGATCAAAAGCAAAATGTATTTTTCAGTATCAAAAGTGCTCATTACCTTTATCACCAAGCTCTCTAAAAAACATCGGTCCTGGTTTAGCTTTGGCAACACACAGCAGTGCAGCATCTACCTCCTTTAAAGACACAAACAAGAAAATAGCCAGTTTGAAAGAGAAGTCTATTCAGTTGAATAGAAAGAATGCAAGTTCTTTTGAAGAAGGAAAGGAACATTTTGCTTACCTTTTTTGTCAGTTTCTTGGCTGAGGCTTTACCTATAATAAAAAAAATCATCATCATTCAATAACAAACTGACTTTAAACTTTGATCAGGTTCTGTGGCATTTCTTCAGATTTTTATGGGAAAATGCTAAGTAATACGAAACAGAATTTTTGCAGGAGGCGGTTTGTTTCTAATTCCCACAACGATCAAGAAAGGACAACATTTAAAAATAATATGAGCAGTCTGTTCAAATATACTTGCAGCCTAGATGAAACCACAGACCACTTTGGTATCTATGACTGATTTACTAGTGTGATTTTGCACACTGTGAGCTACAAACGTAGTACAGATTCCAAAACAAGATTATATAGTAAGAAACAACTCTAGTATTTACAAAGGGATTTGCATGCACACATAATAACCCGTCAAGTGCAGATTGAGTATGCAAGAGCTAAGAAATACTAAAAAAAGAGAAAAAAGAATGAAAATGTTGATGTTTCTATTAAGCAGAAGTAAATTGAACAACTCTGCCTCCTGAAACAGCATCAGATGAAACCATGCAAATTCCTAAGTGTTTATTAGTAGGTTCAAGTCTATTCACTTGAACAGGGGAGCCACTGGCAGCAGTATAGGTCGTATTCCTGTGTAAATCACCCATCTGAGGAGCTGCAGTGGAACGTTTCAGCTGGTTAGGCAGGCATCACAGAAATCCTGCGGTCAGGGACTGGCAGGAGCTGTGCTCCATCCCTTCTCAGTCTATCTGCCCTATCACACCAGTCTGTCTCCTCAGCACTTCTCCTCACACGGTTCTTAAACCCCTGTGTCCTTCACTCTTACTAGTCTCAGCGCACTGCTCCCTTCCTTCACCATCAGCTCCTCTGGGTACCAGCCAGCCATCCCCTCCGATTTATTCACGTTGTGTAAGCACAAGCTGAGCTGCTTGCATTTGCTCTGAGGAGCAGTGCCTCTGCGTGCAGCAGTCTGCTCCATGCTCAGACTCCAAGGCTTACTCTGCTGCTTCATGGGCATCTTGTATCCGAAGGGTCACCAGCACAGCATCGCTGTTTGGAAACGGCAGCCGGGCGGGCAGCTGTCAACAAACTTCTACCAAGCATTTTCAGAGGCCCATAATTTAGCCAGACGGAGGTGCATCCTCAGTAAACCAGTGAATTTCCATAATGCTGGCAAAAGACATGCCCAGCTGCAGGGGGTCTCCACTGGCAACTTTTGGCTTCGGACGATGGAAGCTGCTGGAACATCTCAGTCAGCCATAGTTCATTTTTCAGCACAGGCAAACCAGTGCCCTGGCCTCTGCTCCCTGAACTGGCAGTAACAGTTTTGTTGATAAATTCCTCTCCCTACCCCCCTCCCCCAAATCAGCCTAAGGCAGACACCTGGCACATAACATTGCAACCCAAATGTTTAAGTTTGACAAAAGTTATAAGCAACTAAAATTAGGGTTTTAATACTGGAGTGTTGAGTGACCCCAGCAACAGGTGTTGCCAGCACCACCTGTTACTGTGGATGACTACATTTTTGTGCAGTGCGTGAACATACATTTACACACGTATACACACATATATAAAGCTACACAGATAGATAGCTTCTAGCTCAAAGGAAGTACGAAATCCTCTACTTTGAGACAAAAAGAAGTCAGACTAATAACAGCCTGGGAGAGCAAGTAAAAATCCCTATATCCAGCAAGGCTGAGTCCTGAGCAGTGAGATGTAACACCACAGTTCAACACTGTTCACTGCTGCAGAGCATTTTAATGAATGGCTATTTAGCAAATTAAGTGATTCAGATCTTAGCTTTGAAATGTCAATGGCTCTGTACAGCACATCCAACGTGGAATTAAACTACAGCAGCTCTTTCGGTTCTGGGAGATGCACGTGGTGAGATGCCTTACAAGAAGGAATGAGTCAGGCTGTAGGTCTGCGAAAAATAGTATCTGAAAGAAAAAACGGAACCCCCCCTTGCAGTGATTTTCACTGCAAATGCTCTCTGTAGTTGTCTGTTTTGAAGCCAGCCATGCACTCTTATTTGGTTAACAGTGGCTCCACTCCTTCCTTTCTCCTCTCCAAGAGCATTCACATCTGGGACAGCAACTGCTACCGCAGCGCTGTACTGGGCAGCAGCCTTTTGCCAGCATCCAGGAGGATAATGAAGGGAGACAAGCTGAAGTCTGCGAGATGGTACAGCAAAGGCATGAATAATTGGTACAAGGTAAGGAGAAAGCACTGAGACACTACTTGGCCAAGTTTGTGGGGCTCTACACTTGGTTAAATCCGTGGTTTCTCTTCTTCACGTTGTATTCAGCACAGTAACTCTGAAACACTTCAGCTACCCAGTTTTAGGGAACATATCCTCAATGAGAACTACCCATGACAAAAATTAAGAAGGGGAAGGAAAATCTGTTGCAGACATGTGGACCATCAGCCCGCAGTCACAACTGCACCTGCCTAGAGCTCATACAAACGGCTGTGGCAGGCATCAGCATCTGCCCTCCTGCATTCAGCTATGGCCACCCTCCAGAGGATGTTTAAGATGTTGACACGCCGCCTGACCCATTTCAGAGATGAAAAGCCAGTAACAACAATGGCATCCTTGACTGGGAAATCTTGGCATGGGTGAAAGGACTAGCAGAGGAGAGGAGCACAGTCACATCACCCCTGGACGTGGCGAGGGGCTGAATGAGGCGGGCGAGAGTTGCTCCCTACCACAGCTGACTGCACAAGGGGCAGCTGCTACAATAAAAGAAGAAAAAAGGCAGGAGGAAAAGGGACAGATTGAGAGAAAAGCAAAGATATTTCTACTTTTCTAAGTAGTAAATACAGCGGAGTAATAAATGTGGAGCCTTTTAATGGTGCTCTTCTCAAATGGGCTTCAAAATCAAAAGATTTAATAACCTGGTCAAATGAAAATGGCATACAGATGTCAGCAAGCATGTGCACTGGTAGGCCAGGATTTTTTTTGAAACAACCTGATATTTGGGACACTAGTGTTATTTTTCATATAGCCATCTGTGTAAAGTATTAGAATACAATCTTATAATAATGTAATAATTTAAACTGTAGAATGAGTTTCCTCCAATAATCATTTTACAATTTTCTAAGAATTAAATCCACTAATATTCTATGGATACCGTCACTACATAAAATCATCTGTGAAGACTCAAATCTCAGTTTTCACTTGGAAACATCAGCTACTTTTATCATAGCACTCGTAATACTCCTTGAATACTAATTTAGCTCTTGGTGCTTATTCTCTCCATTTATTCTCTTCCTAACAATAAGATCCCTTTAAACACCAACAAGGAAAGCTCTGTTAATATTGCATACTACCATGTCAAATGTGCAGCCCTCTGAGGAACCAGGTCTTTTAAGGCCTTGTGCACAATAATTAGGAAAAGAAGGTTAACTCCTCTTTGCAGAAAATGCACTGCAAAGGTATGAACAGTTTTCTTAGACAGTTTGGACACTGAAAAAAAAAAAAAAGCATCTTCCTTTCTATCAGTTAAATCTCAGTGCTGTCACTCCTGACATGACTACAAATATATCAGGATCTAAGTCTCTCTCTGAGGAATACAAGCAATGGTTATAATTATTAGGAACTATTTCACCTACTAAGTAAAAGATCTGTACGATGCACTTTTCCATAGTTTTATTCTTTTACCTTGATAGATTCTTACTAATAAGTAAATTAATTACATATTAGAAAATTTGTTTGTAGTAGTAAGAGTCTTACTTTGGTATCAGAAAAAGAAACTTGAAATTTTTATTGTTTTGAACTTGAATGAATGAGAAGAAAACAACTTTTCTCTCCCTACAGACCTGCCAAGACTGTGATGGAATTCTGACTTAAAGGACAACAAGTATGTTCAAGGTTCTCTACATATTTTACAGATGCTATCATCTAATTTTCATCATCTATAGCGGATCCATGAAACAACAATGAGGTACAGACACACCTTTCACGGACAAAAAGCCATTTTAGCTTTTTAAGTTGAATGAATACCAAGTCTACTTAGGAGCACACAAATTCTGTGCTGTTAGCCAAGAAAGTTAGCTGACAACTATAATTAAGAAAACACTGCCAAGAGCAGCTACGTCAGCCTTAATTTGCCCTTGGCAAACCTGGGTATTTTGTCACATACATTTCTTACAATAGAAGTGTTTCCATCATCTATCAGTTTTTTACACTAAGATGTAGAATGGACCTGACATCAATGTTAGGATTAACATTAGGAAAGGGCTGAATTAAACAAGTACCTGCTTGCACTCAGTAACACCCATTTACACCTGTACAGCTAAGGAAAGGCTTAGATCTGACAAAAGACGTTTAGAGTCAAAGAATGAACAAAATCACTAAGATCAACCATTATAACAACAATAATCAAATGACAAAGCAGAAAAGTTACTACTATCTGCAAGAAAGCACAATTTTACATGTCTGCAAGATTGCTCTATTTTTGTAATATGGAAATTAAAATTAATTTTTGAATCAATCTTCCTCCACAGCCTTAACTTCAAATGAGAACAGTATAAGTATCTTTTCCCAGGAGGACAACAAACTCCTGTCTCTTTTATCAGCAAAGTCACTGAGATGGTTTCACCAGGATGTCTTTTTAGCTCCATTTCAGACAGACACAGTGATAAACAACAAAAAAAGAGTCTTCTCAGTTTTTTAATTTTAGATGGCAAACATTGCTATCTTTGCTGAAGCTTGGCAAGTTCAAAGTCATACTGGGGTACTAGGAAACCATTTGTTTTTTCATGAAAAATTAGGAATGACATTAAGTATGTCACAACTCAAACAAACTGATTCCCTAAAATGTTGAGAGAAATGAACCATTTAAGCTGAATGGGATTTTTCAGCAGTTGTAATCTGAGGATCGGGGCATTTTAAAAACCAAACCCACTGCGCGCAGCTCACGCCGCAACCTTGACAGCAGAGCCCAGCCTGCAGCCTTGCCTGCCACAGGAACAAGAATTTGGATTTCTCCATGTTAGCCAGCTGCCAGCTTTCATGTAAGCTGAACTCTGAGAATCCT